CATCTCAGTGTTTACAGATCTGTCTACAGAACGTACATGCAAGTTTTTCATGGATTTTTCCACAGAATATATCTCAAGTATTTGAAAGAAAATGCAGTTTGTGAAGCTGGAATACCAAGTCAAAGCCACTGACACGCTATGGCATTTGAAAATCAATCAATCCAGGAGTGCAATTTCATTTCCTTACTGGTGGACGACTGCGGCAGTTTTATTTTTAAATAAAATAAACTATAAAATGCAAACTTTTGTTTGTCTTCAGACACCTCTGCATCTGCTGTGTTTGGAGCCTGAAGAGAGGACGCATACCTGACAAAAATAACTGCAAACTGCACAATTCTGCAGGATTGCTCCTACATGTCTTTAGAGCAACGTGCTTCATGAATCCAAGGCAGAAATAAAGATGAAGGTTAAAGTCAAATAACTGTAGAAATAGAGGAGATAGCAGTGTGTCATGACTTTTCCCCTCAGTGTTTTACATGTGAAAGAGCATCTTGTAGGCTCTACCAGCAGCTCACCCTGACCGCTCTCTGCCTTGCCCAACAGATATCACAGAAATTTCAGGAGTCATCCAGGGCCAAACAGGTAGTTATTAACAAGAGTGAAAATCAATTACTGCTGTGGGAGATCTGCGAAACGCAGAGAGACGTCAACGACACGCAGAAGAGGAATGCAATAACAGCGAGCATCTCTCACCTGGTTATAGATGGACATCAAATACTCCCTCCTCGACCGTCTCTATGTCCTCTTCTGCAATGACTGACAGAGACAGAGAGTAAGAGAAGACTGAGAGCTCAGAACACCTTGAGCACTGGCCGGATCTTTACGGCATTCTGGTTCAATTATCTGGAAATCCTGAGTCCTCCAATCAGCCAGAGAGAAAAGGTTTCCCTGTGATAAGCTAATTATATTTCCATTACAAATTATACTCTATTCGCTCAATGAATAAAAATACCACAGTATTTGCACACAATTACTATGATGTATTATTATTTTTTATTTTAATGCATACATTTTAACATAAATATCCTGCTATATTTGCTAGTATTTATGGTAAAGATTAATTTAGAACTCTAGGAAAATGATTTGCATGGATTTTTTTCTGTTATGATCACTTTAATGTTTCCGGTCATCAAACAAATTCACTAGAGAGTAAAAAAACATTTTCCAAGTCATTCATTTGCAGCATCAAATAAGATAAGTATTAAGGCAAATAAAAAGGTAACTGGCTTGAATCTCCTCTGTCACTGTGGAAGATTCACAGAACAAAGAGGTGTGTGATACTGGGAATGTTGGCACAGACTGGCTACTGAGTGAATACAAACTCAGAAATTTTGAGATTAATCTCAAACTTGGAAATTTCAAAAGTCTAAAATCTTTGACTTCTGAAACTCAGAAGTTTTTTTCTAGAAATTTTCTGGGATTGATCTCAAAACTTCAGTTATTTTGAGCAAATGTTCAACTTTTCAAACCCAGAAATTCCTTGGTTTTTTCTTTAAAAAAAAATCAGAGACTAACCTCAAATTTTCTGAATTTTTTTTAAGCAAATCTTCAACTTTTCAAATTCAGAATTTTTGTTTTCTTTTGCTAGACATTTTCTGAGATTAAACCAAAAAATTTCAGAGTTTTTGTCAGAAACGTAGCCCTTTTTTTCCATCCACACTGGTGCTAATACGCCGTCGTCCTCACCTGTGTTCTGCAGGCTGGGCGGAGTGTTTGCAGGTGGTGGGAAGCTGTAGGACCGGGCCTGCAGGGCAGGCGGAGTCTCGTGGCTGATGCTCTTGGTTCTCTTCCTGCACTCCACGGCCAGGCGGCTGCGGCAGGCCTTGTGGCAGTTCACCCCGCAGGCTGCAGCCGGAGGTTTGACACGGCGGACGAAGGACGCCGGCAGGGACAGGTGTCGGGAGAGGAGGAGAGGACGGCGAGTTGGATGGAGAGGCAGGGAGGATCGGCGACAAGGGAATGTCCATTTGTTTGGGACGGCGGGGGAATGAAGAGGAAAGACAGGGTCAGATAACGGGACGGGTCCAAACCGAAACATGGGGGTAAATGGGAGAGCTAGTGGCGACAGAAAGGTGCTTTGGCACGGCATGCAGACACACGAGCACCGGCACACACACACAGAGACAGGTCAACCGTACTCAACAGTAACTCTGTAAACTGGGGCGAGTCTGAGAGGAGCGGGAGCAGTAGTGGTGGGTCACCCAGCGAGGAAGCAAGAAAACTGAATATTTACCTTCAGTTATATTAAAAATGATTTGTGAGCCTTGAACTTTTCCACAGTATGTCATGTTACACTTAGAAACTTTTAATTTACACATTTTTGACAGAAACTCTCCATCCACTCAGACCTAATTTGAGCCAGAAGTGGGTGGATCGATACAAAACAATAAGAAAATGATCAACTTCTAGATTGGATCAATAGCAGCGTGTTAAGATTGCAACAAAACATTTTGTTTTGACTTGCTTATTTTCAATGGTTTCTGTTTATCATGTTAATATGTTCGTAGAGTAGACAGATATAAACTGTCAAAATTCTATCCTTGGTTTTAACACAATAATTCAAAAGAAAAAGCAACAAAAACACACTGAAGTCAGAAGATTGATGATATATCAAACCTAAATGGTATAAAGTATTGATACTGGCATCGGTACTGGCTCTGTATTTACTTGGTATCAGATCGATACCAAAACATGCAGTATCATTCACCTCTAATTTGAGCGACACCCAGTATTCATGCAGGTTAGGGGCCACAGTCACCTGCAAAAAGCTACAATTTGCAAATACTTGGTACTCCCTCTAAAATTGTTCTAACTGCTTATTGTAATACTTCACACACCAAATTATCTTAATATGCATTAATACACAGTGTATACTGTCATAGTGCTACTTCAAATGCGAGCATCCACAATCTTTTTTCTACTGTTGAGTGGTGCAGCCAATCTGATTGGCTAACGACAGCCAATGGCCTGTCAAGTAGCACTGCCTTGATTCCTCAGCTTTCCAAGCTGCATTTTCTTTCTAATATTTTCAATATGATCAAGAAGAAAACGAGTGAAAAGGAAAATTTTCCGCAACTGATTCAGAAAAAACCCACAATTTTGTGAATACTGAGCTGCAAATAGGTAAGTGTCCTCTAGAGCTGTGAGATATTTTGCTATCAATCTGATACCAAATTAGTATTGGGACAATATCACCAATACCGATACTGTTATCAATACATTTTATTATTCAAGTTTCATATATCAATGAGCTTCTGACTCTTAGGCGTTTTTGTGTTTTTTCTTTTGAATTATTTTGTTAAAATTGAAGACAGAATTTGGACAAAGTTGGTAGATGTCTACAAAATATGTTAATAGCATATTAATATGATAAACAGAAAGAATATAAAGTATAGATGGGAAACTACAAAACAAAAGTAAAATAAAATTAAAGAGGGAATCTGAAACTGAAGTCTCAATCTTACCACATTAGTATTGATCCAATACTGATAAAGATTTGGTATCGACTTTATCAATACTTTGGATTGAGCCGCTCACCTCTGGTTCAGAGGTCCAATACAGTGGACCTCTGGACCACTGTATAATTTGGACAAAGTACGTTACTTTAATGAAATATCATATAACATGACTTGTGTGCATTTTTCTTAAATAAACAAAGTGCAACAAAATTATAATTTGAAAGCAAATTGAAACAATACAAAAAAATTATACAAAATTTCAAGAGAGTATATGAAACTAAAGTATGCGGTAGTGGATACTAATAGATCTGATACTTGGTGGACGTATCAATACTTTGGATCGATACGCTCATCTCTAACAAAAACTACAATCCTCCAAATGTCCAAAGCTGATGGTAACATTCCCTAAAGACTCCATAGCAAAATGTGGCTCTACAGAGTACTGACACACTGAAAGCCATTTATCCATTTTGTCCTACTCCACCAAAACACACTACTTCATGTTTGATGGATAAAAACCTAATACAATCAGTTGAAGTTTCTGACAAAATGCGAAGAAGTTCTAGATGTGTGGATGCCTCTGTAAGATTTAAACATCTGTAAGTCGAATGTCTGAGAGACAGATATGGGAGTCAGATCAAATATTTCTCAATAAAAAAAAGTGAAAGCTGCTGCTGCAGAAATGTCAAGCTGACTGAAAAAGTCTGAAACCCCCCCCAAATCAGGGCTATTTCTGTGGCTGTGTGTTGGAGTAAAAGTTAGAATGAACTGTGACAGCACTGCACCCAGTCACACACCTAGAGGCTTCCTATAGTTAAGTCTGAAATGCCTGACATCTGCTGCTCCGACACACACATCCCAGCAACCCACTCGCAGTCAGAGTCCTCCCACTCCTGCACTGCGCCACAGTGGGTGATTCATTTCAATTACACCCCTGGCGCTCTGTCTCCCTCCCTGAGTACAGCCTAACAATGGTAATGGGGATGAATGGCTGTGGGCCTGTCTCATTGACTTCCTCCGGTCTCATTAATGGAACAAGCCAGAACACACTGAAACTCCCAGTCAGACTACAGGCCTCTGAGTGGAGAGGATATTGGAAAGTGTGGGGGGAGTAGATGGGTTGAATGGGTGGGAGGTGTGTGTGTGTGGGTGTGGGTGTACCCACTGCAGAGACATCAGTCCTTTTTATGGGTGTGATTGTGTTTGACCCGCACTTAGCCTTCTCTGTAATACCAAAAGCCAAATGTGGACCGTCCTTTTATCGGTTAAAAACGTGAACTTAGATTGATTTCACTTTCTTAAAGGGAAAGTATTATGTTTTCCACGCACATAACGTGGAAAACATATATAGCATATACCATTTTATAGCACAATCAAGTAACTACCTTAATGTCAGTTACTATAAAAATAATAAACAAAAGTGTGAAATATTTCATTCTGTAAATAATTTATTACTGAAATGAGTGACTTACAAAATTGTACATTTCACAAGTTTACATTTTTTGAGATGTATTTGGGATTTTTTTTGGTTTTTGAGGTATGTTTTTTTTTCACTCTTTTGACATTTTTAGCAAAACATCTGAAAGTGCATGGAGAACATCTAGCAAATCCAAAACGTACAAGTTCTTCCACATAATCTATAGTAAAATCAACTATGAACACATTTTGACCTAAACTGCACAGTTAGATGCAAACCGCCAATCCACACTTTCCAGTCATTTATTCCTAGAAGGTTTATAGAATCACAGTTTCCCTATTGCCTCACATTCCGGGACTACTTTGTGTTTGTAACGTGAAAAAAAAGTGGAAAAGTTCAAAGGTTTTGGAATACTTCTGGGATTAGTTTGTGCTAATGAACAAATCAGCCTTTGAGTAAACACGTCTATTTTTCTTGTCTCCTACATTCGAGGTGCAGAGCGTTGTGAAAACTGCGTCTAATGACCCCAGCGAACACTAATTACTCTGGCTGCTATGCGACGGAAATGTTTGATGAAGGCTTGCCAGCGATTTAATAAGCAACAGTTAGCAAACCTGAAGGCCGAAATGAATGAGGAGAAAGTTAATACCGAAATTACATGTGGACGATAAGGAAATCCCTGTTTTTTTTCCAGAAAAGACTCAGTAGAATTCTTCCCCATTGCAAAGTTTGGAGAATTTACTGAACAGAGGTGGACCTGTTTTTTGCAAGCTAATGAGCTAATCGTCCGAGCCACTCTGGGTGTAAACTAGCAGAGCAGTCATTTGTCTTCAATCGCCTCCTGCTAACACCGCAGCAGACGAAAATCTTCCCGAGATCTGCCATCACTCCCTAAGTTTTTCCTCACATTCCATTCGCAGTGTTAAGTTATTTCCAGAGTATAGCATCTGCAGTTCATCACCAACTTGGCACAAACCACTGACAGCCTCTCCCCAGTGCAAAGAAGAAGGCTAAGTCAGTGTTTATGAAGGGAGTGTTGAAGGGAGAGGAGATGTTGGAGGTGTGTGTGTGTGTGTGTATGTGTGTGTCAAACACAAGTCTGTATGGAGGCCCGGAAGGGCAAATCCAGGCTTTACGTGTGGACATGGAGTAAAACAGACTGATCCTGTACAGCTGATGAGATGGTGGCTCTGTGTGTTCTTGACATTTACTCTGTATATGCGTATGAGTTAGAGGGGAGATCAATGGGATCAAGAGATTCTCAGGAGGCGGCAGCCTTCCAAGTGGAACAAGAACATCTTCTCGGAGAATTGTTGTCTTACCTTTACACTTGTAGCCTTGTTTGTAAAAGCCCCATATCTAGAAGACAGAAAGGACAAGACAAAGGAAGAAGAAGGTTGGTGAACGGGTAATTAAGATACCTGAAAGGAAATGGATGGAGAAAACACACCAGTATGCAGTGACCCATTAAACTTTGTCACATTCTGTCAGTGTGTTTTGATGGGGGAACGTCAGTGTGTTTTGATGGGGGAACTTTAATTAGAAGGATAATAATACAAGGTCTGGACAATCCTTCACAAATAAAAACCAAGGAGAAACCTTTGATCTTTTTCCTTCCCCTCCACAAAGTAATGCACCATTTTGTGTCGGTCTATCAAATAAAATCCTCCCAAAATACATAAATGCTGTGGTTGTAAGGTTATGGTAAAGGCAGTAGTGGACACACTTCTGCTAATGCGCTTAGCTCTTTAGCTAACTTTGAAGATGTTTAGCTCACTTAGGTACTCCTAAATAAAATTACAAATAAATTCCAAAGCACTATCTATGTATGTTGGCTGTTTTGCAAATTTTCAGTAGAATAATTTTTTTGCGCAACAGTTTGTTTCCTCTCCTCACGTTCTCTGCTTTTTCACTAATAACTATTTCAAACAAGAAACAAACAGGAACAAAATAGAATCCGGACAATAGAGAACAAGACATAAACATAAATATGATATCTAAGGCCATTATAGAACATGGAAATAATGTCAAAATTAAATTGGTGTACGACGGTTGTGGTGTTTCAAGGGCAGATATTTTAATTGAAGTTAGCACTTTAGCATTCTGCTAAACATCACATTAGTGATTTAGTATTAGCTTCCGCTAAATACTGTGTTTGTGTAATGTTGTAATGTTAGTGGAACTAATGTTTGTTATTAGAGCTTCAGAGTTAGCTCAACTAACATTTTAGCTAGCAGTGTCTCCCACTAAAGGTAAAGGTATCAATATTTTTCCAGCGCACATATCAGCTGTGAATCAGTGAATCAGTGAATGCAACATCGCTAAGCAGTCAGGAACAGGAAGACGTTCAGCAGACGCCAAGAAGGCAGAAAATTAGCCCTGATTAATCATCGTTAACTTTCACCTCCAGCTTTCATGGAACTGAACAGGTTCAGTTGGATGGGAAACTTTGAGCAAGAGTTGAATATTTTTTTCTTGTTTTTCAAAAACAGAAAGAACACACCCATGTTCCCTACAAATATAAATTTTAAATAGAGGTTATATAGAGAAAAACTTTCCATAATAAGGGCTTCAGGTGTTTTACTTGTACAAAAACTCTGTCCAATTATAACTGAAAGAAAATAGTATTTTGAATGATGATAATTATAGTTCTCATAGAGAAGCAGCATCCTCACATCACTCCATCTCAGCAGGATCCTCCAGCTGCAACATGACAGATGGGTCCTGCAGAGCATGATGACGGATGTTTAGTTACAAAAAAGTTTTATTTTTTATGTTCCCTTCATATACAGTAAATGCACATGGAAGGAGAGTTAAATTCCTTGTTTGTGTTACATAAACTTTGCAATAAAGCTGATGGAAATATAATGAAAAATGGAAAAATTTGAAATAATTGTCTCATTTCATAACTGGCAGTTTGGATCTTTAAATATCTCGAAAATTCCAATTATCCTAAAAGACCAAAGACTGACACATTTCTAAAATGGATGAACTGCGAACAGCAGAGGCTGTTTCCTTCTGCTAGGACTGCTGACATTTATGCCACACTATCTGGAAACAGGTGTTAAGAACACGACAAAAACAGATGTGAAAAAGATTAACATTCAGTAGCAACTACTACGAGTTTAACGTGACAGCAGAACACCAAATAAAACATCACATTAGGACAATTTGGTCCAAATAATTCAGAGAAACGTCAAAACTGTTAGGCTGAGCAACGGAGAAGATTCAGCACAGAGAACGGAGAGTTGGATGGAAGAGGGAGTGGGGCGAGGATCTGAGGAAGGACTGTGTGTGTGCCAGCAGGAGAGACTTAGGCTAGTGATGAGGACGACATGATGACGTGATGCTGCAGAGAGCAGGAGAGGGTAGCTGGGGACATCTAGTGACAGATTCAGGGAACAGGACAGAACCGAATGACACCAAATCGAAACAAACCCACTTTCTGTTTTATTTGAATTTTACATGACAGACTAACATAAAGCAACACTTACCTGTACCTAGAAATGTAATCCCTGTGCTGTTCATTTCAGGGGTATTTGATTAAAGGGGCTGCACTAATGTGCATGCCAGTTATGTCAGACTGCTTTCAACTAAAAAATATTCAGAACCATGTGTCATTTGTTACGATTCAGGAGACGTCAGGAGATTTTGGTGAAAATGGGGGAGCCGCTGCCTTCTGTTTCTAATCTCTTATAATTTTAGTTTTTGTTGAGCTGTGAAATTGAATGAAAGAAAATCAAATGCACCCTGTTCGGTTCGTTTGGGAGGTGAGAATGTGTGATGGAACTCTGACGCAGACCAAAAACTCTGATCTGTCTTGGTCCATTTGAAGTGAACTGTGGTGGGGTTTGAATGGTTATGTGGATGCAAAAACTACAGCACAGGGCATTCTGGGTAAATACAACCAAAACAACCGAACCAGTTTTCTGTTACCAGAAGAAATGGCTCGCAGTTTTTAGCCAAAGACAAAAGAAAAATCCCACATCTGCTAAAATCTGACGCTACTCCATTTTTGCTATTACATGTAGAAGTAATTCATTCGTATCTTCTTCGGACGTTTTCGTGTTGTTTCCTTCAGTAGTTCTTGGTGCAGCGCCACCACAGGTGAGGAGTTGAACAGGTCTTTCTAAACGTTTGGGAAGCGAACCACAACAGCTAAAACTTGTAAGGAATGTTGCGATTTTGGTTCCCAATCAAACCGAGTCTACCAAACTATCAGGTGTGAAAACACTCAAAAAATGTGTTGAAATTTAGCTTAGATACACATTTTAAAATACCCATTCACTTCATATCTGAATTTCCAAAACTGAACATAGAGATGAGGTGAGACGGGGGCCAGAGCAGAGGGGGCTGGTGGAGGGGGACCCAGATCAAGAGGGGTGCAGCGGTGGAGGGACTGGGGTGTGTGTGTGGAGGAGTGGGGGGACAATAACATGAAAGAGCCGAGCTGGAGATCACACACAGCACTGGCACATCTGAGGAGGCACAAAATATCCTGACCTCTCCACACACAAACACACACACAACTACAGAGAAGCCATAAGAACAAATACGCCACTAGCTACAAACGTAGATACACACACACACACACACACCACACAGGCAGGGGCTGCGCAACAAAGAGAAGACAAACATCTAGACACCGGCATCATCACAGCTCAGCCTACACACACTGACCTTTGCTGCTGCTGGAGTCGGTGAAACACAATGAAGCTCACACAGGAGTCGGAATAACGCTCAGTTACACACTTATTGGTTTATGTGACTTTTCTCCGCTAGCTTTTAAATTAGCATGCTAATTCTAAATGTATTTAAATGAACAGTTTATCAAAATTCAGCTTTTTTTTTTTTAGGCTGACTATTTTTAAACTCCTTTCTTTTAATTTTCCACCCAATAAAAAGTTGCCGTTGAAGCGCATCGATTTGGTAAAAACACAAAATAAGATCTTTAGCCATTTCTAGCCTTAGTGCTTTTCTTGCATAGCCGCGAAGAGCTCACAGTGACTTAAAGTTACAATGTTGACCTTTCTCAGCTGAGAAAGCTCCAGAACAATGAATGTATCTTTTTGTAAAATATGTGGAAACTACTTTAATTTTTCACATGATGTAGACCAAAGAAGTCTGGAAGATTTATGCAGATAGATCTTAAGAATTAATTTATCTATTGCTGACATCTGCAGCCTGTGGCTCTCAATGACTTTTACAAAAAATTCCAAAAACACTTTAGCTTACCAGTTTTTCCTAGGTGTTTTTGTCCAACATATACATACATTTCTGCAAAGAATGACACAATATTTTTTATCATCTTACTTTAAATTTAAATGTTGCAATGAAGAAAATGTATTAAATCTTAAAACAAAAGTAAAAATCACTGTTCTTTCCTAAATTTCGGGAATTTCCTACAGTAGCTATGATGAAAACAAACTATTTTGCTCCAAAGAGTCGGTTCGTAAAGGTTGCAAAACCCTGATTTATTAGCATTTGAGTATGACCAATGCCAGTTTAGCCTTTTCAAGGAGGTTGTATCTGGAAGAGGGAGTCATATGGAAGATAAAAGGAAATGAAGTGTTAGAACCAGGATGGATGCCTGCTGGAGTACTGACATGTAGTATTTGTAGCAGTTTTATCGAAGCCTCACAAAACACAAAACCTGTGTGTGAAATTGTAAAAGGAGACTTTAAAGCGTATAAACCTGCTGCTTTCATGTTCACATTGTCGCCCCTGGAGCAGCTAAGCGGCAACAGCAGATCTGGCAGGTCAGACCTGGAAACATCTACGTTTCACTCTCAGCGCTGCGCCGGTTTGGCCTGCAGCGGTCACGTTAACACAGACAGGCCCAGCAGCAGTGGGCTGCTTTGGCTCGTTATCTGCTTTTTTTTTTTTTCTTCTTTCTTTTCTAAGGACAGATCATGTTATTAGATCCAAAAAAAAAGGATGCTCTCAATACTTCCCTCCTCCACGGATAAACCTGAAATAATTAGCAGTAGCATGTGTTTGCCAGAGCGTCTGAGCCTAATGATGAGAGAACAGGGTCTGAAATAGAGAGAGCTCTGACTGAAGCTTGTGTTCAGGCATAATGTAGATATATTTTATTCTATTTAATGAAAAAATGTTTCTGTGAAATAAGCTAATCAGAACTCTAATTGATCCACCCACTTAAGCTGCTAGAAATATATAAACATAATGCGCGAGATGTCAAGTAGGATTTTCTCGAGAATATTTTTCAGCACATTCTGTAAATAAGTCTCATTTATCTTATTTGAATAAGTAAAAATTGTCTTGTTCTTAATGAAAGTACACTAATTTTCAGGGATTTTCAGGCAGTGCTGTTGCAAAAAGCAACAAAACAATTAATCGCACAACAAATTAAAACAAACTCAATAATTTCCACTTGCATGATTTCTTGTTTTTCTCTTTTTTTCTCCCCCATTTCCACCTAAAACTAGATGATAAAAGTCCTCAGTCTGGTCAGTCGCTTACACAGACTTCATAATTTGTTTTATTTGATGTTGTTTTTTTAATTTATTTTATGTATTTAAAATGTCTTCCAGTATCAGTGTTAAATGTTCATTAGAATTTAAAGTTCAATGACCTTTCAGAATGTGTTCTTGCGTTATTTATGCCACTTGAAAATAGTCTTAAAACAACAATTGTATCGTTTATCACAATAACTTCTGGGACAATATATCGTCCAGCAAAATTTGTTATGGTGACAGACCTATATGGGATTTTTTTAAAACTTGTTTAGGAAAGTCTTGACAAGTCTCATTTTCTTGCTCTGTTGGCAGATCATTTTATTTTAATTAATATATACCCAATGTTTGAACTTGAAAGGTGACTTTTTGCAGTGGCTGAGGAAGATATTGACCTCATAACAGCAGAATCCATAAATAGGACAATTGCACCTCGCAATGATCCAACATGAATCATTTAAAGGGATGTTTCAGCACCTTTAATGCCTCAGTCGGCCGATATGTGACAGTGAACTTTAGCGAGAAGGATCAGTAAACCATTGTAGACCCAAAACATACTAACAGAGTGCTTAGCATTTTTCTGATTTGTATTTTTTTCGTCTATTGTCCTTTACAAGATCAGGATCTGAATCATTCTTTCCTGTTTGCTATGTCTAGTCGAGCTGAAGTACATTGAGGTCGGCTTTGAAAGAAAAGGTTGTTGGTTATTTGTAATTTTGTATTTGTAATGGCGTTGACCTCTTTTTTAAGGATTTGTTTGAAAATGACATTGCTAAAAAATAATTTTATGAATTTCTCTTCTGCCAAACTGCAAATGTGCAGATAGCAGAACTAATTTTTCATTTAGCTCTTTTGCTCTTAGTTTGACATCACTTAGCTTTTCAACATTTCCCGATCCATTCTAAAGCTCTAATTGACTCGTCTGTTTTGCTAACTATCTGAATAAAGTTTGACATCTGTGTTGAAATTTTTGTTTTCGACTGTTACGAATTTGTCGAGTGGTTAGACATATTTATGCTCTTATTTTGAAAACTTTACGTTTCCCTTGCTCACGTTCTCTCTCTGTCTTTTCCCAATAACTTTATTTCAAACAAGAAACATTAACAAAATAAACAAAACAATAGAGCTTAAGATATAAAGAAATACTATAACTAAGGGCTTTCTAGAACGTGTAAAATGTAAAAATTAAATTGGTGTTTGAGGATTGTAGTCTATTAAGAGCAGATAATTTCAAATAAAGTTAGCATTTTAGCGCCTTAGCATTAGCTTCCACTAAATTAGCTTCCACTGGTCTAGCGCTTTAGGTTTAGTGCAACAAACTTTTTAGCTAGTGGTTGAAACCAGTGACTGAAGCAAGTTTCCTTTTCCACAAACTGAACATTCCTTTTTGATGACTAAATGATGTGTGTGGACCGAGTCTGCCCAGCTCATTTAGATTTCATGCTAACTAAACTGTGAGGAGCTCAAAGAGACTCTGAGATGCAGTCTGTCTTACAGACACACTCCAAGCCTTTAGCGTCCTCTGGAGATGCCGACACACACATTCTGCTGCGTGTCTGCTTGCTCTGTGTGTTTAGTAAAACTCATCTGCGAGCCATTAGTTAGGACCGAAGGAGGCTGCGGGCAGAGCGGCACAAGATTCAGATGATCTGCGTGTGTGTGTGTGTGTGTAACACTGGGGGTGGGAGGAAGTGTGAACTCTGCAGTGTTTACTGGAGGCCTGGCTCCACTCGAGCAGCATATTTGAAACAAGTGCTGGAACAAAAAAATAAAATAAAATACCAGGCTGCAGGGGAAAATATTGTTTTTGCAGAGGAACCAAGAGGAAGGTACAAAGCGGGCAGACGAGGATGTGGCTGGTGTATCTACCTCTGCCACACACACACACACACACACACACACGCAGACATGCACACGCACGGATATGTTCAAAGCACAGAGTCTTTATCTTTCCATGCTCTCTATTCTGAGTTTCCCCTCAGGATGAGTGGAAAATGTCAGCCTCCCTGGAGAATAAATGTGTGTACAGCAGCAGTGTTGGAGTTTTAATGAAAGTCTGTGCATATAATCTTCTGGGCACTCTGCCGCCTGAACGCAACACAAAGAGACCAACCAAAAACATCCAGAGCCGACTAAAGCCACGCTCCTCTTCCTGACTCACTAAACAACACACAGCTCCTCGGGAGGCATGTCAAGGACACACACACACGCACAGAGGTGACACCACCACAGACGAGGGTTATCATCTCACCCAATTACCTTTCTTCTATGTTTCCCAGAATGCAACTGGAGCTCATAGTAATTGGCATTGGCCTGACCTGACACGAAGGAAAAGCCTGGGAGAGACGCTCCATCACGACTATGGAGGCAAATAATGATGTGCAAATAGTCCCCAGCTCTCACCCCACTAGGTATGAGATGACATGGAGAGCGTGTCTGACCTTTGACCTTTGAAAAGAAATGACACCTGGTATCGACAGACGGGATGAAAGCGATCAACAATAAAATATGGACGAATAAAGCAAAGATCGATACGTCCTGAAGGAGTAAAACATCAAACAAAAATCATTTTAAAGATCCACTGACAGGAGTTACAGACGTTTTATGTCAAGTTGGTGATAAATTGGTTTCTGGAGATTTTCAGTTTAAAATGTTTAAATCCCAGTTGCAGATCCATCATAAGTGATGAAAATGTATTTTTTTATATAAGAAGGAAGGAAGAAAGAAAGAGAAAAAATAAAGAAAGGTACAAAAAGGAAGAAAAAACAAAGGAGGGGAATGAAAAGAGAGAACAAAGAGAGAAAGGAGCAAGGTTAAAAGAAAAGATGTGAAAGGTAGAAAACTCCTACAGAGGGACACAAAGAAGAAAGAAAGTTGGGAAATAATAAAGGACTTAAAGAAGTTAGACAAGTTAGACAAAATGTAAGAAACAAAATCTGGAAATTCAAATCTTTTTCTATACTCTTATTTTCTTTATCCATAATTATCCTAGAAAATAGGACTTTTGCAGATTTTACTAGCCTAAGTAGAAATGCTGCATACAGAGAAAATCAGGCGGTACTGATGAGCCGAAACACTCAACAGAAACGATCGTGTTCAAAGTGACGTGAAAAATTCATGAAGCAGGAAAGACTTCTTCTGTAAGATTCGTCCACTAATGATTAAACATGTGAACATCGGCTTTGATACTTTTAGCAAAATGTTGGGATGAAAACATCTTCAGCAACGACATGAGGGGTTTTTTTAACAGCATGGTTTCAACTGTGTGTGTTAAAGCATGTTAAGATGGAGCTAATAGCGAAAATTCAAACTGGAAGACTCCATCCCCTCCGTTCGTCCATCGGCGTCATGCTCATCTCCGACCTCAGCGCTGGACCTCACCTGGCGTGTCCAATCATCAATCAAGTTCAGCATAAAAGGATCCACACCCAAGCCGTCAGCCGCTTCCCAGCTGCGTTCAACCCACCACCGCCCCTTCTCCACCCACATCCTTTGGTTCTCCAGGATGGCACTCTTTCCAGACCTCCACCACCAGTGTCGGGCCCCGGGGGAGAGCATCCCTAATCGGTTATCGGGATGTTCATCAAGTTCACATCAAATCTCGGCTCAGGTCAGCTGCCAGGGCCCGAGCGCCAAAGAACTGTTATTCATTGCTGTCATTAAATCTTTTAATTGTTCCTTTTTCTTCGTCTGAGTCTTTCCAGATTGAAATATATTTGGTGATAGAAACAGAATAGTTTTAAGAAAGGAGAACTGAAATACTCTGAGACTTTGGCTCACATGGTCGTTCAAGTCAGTTTGATTATTTTTTCTATTTGTTCACATATATTGTATTATAACATCAACATAACTCAGTCACCATATTATTTTCTCTATGTTGAAGGTTGGGCCGTCTATTTTAACAGTTACAGCTGATAACGAGTAGAGGTGGCTCATATGGACTCAGAATTTTATCAAGATATTTTGTGGTACTATTGTGATAAGGATAAAAATGATCATGAAAAACTATTTCATTGTGTTGTTTTTTTTTTTTTTTTTTAAGAATTTTTTTGCATTCCTAGTGAAACAAACAGAAAACATTCCTATTTTAAACTGGCTTCTTCTGGGTGTCATATTTTTCATATTTAATGATATATTACATTTATGTACTTATGTATTTAGTTATTTCTTTTATTTAATTATTTTTGTTTTATTTTTTATTTTTCTCTCTTCCTTCATCCCAGCTTTTTTGTATTTCCTTTAAGCTCCTCACACGTCAGTTTGTATTTAACTCCACCAACTCCATGTTGTGTTCGTTCTGTTTTTGAAAATAAATTTAAAAATGTGTTAAAACAAATTTACTGATATTTGTGGAACAGTGGAGAAAATGGTTAAAAAAATGACTTCTCCAATAATCTCAGTTTTGTTTAGATTTTTAAGACAATGATAAAAATCATGATCACAAATTTTCATGAGTGTTTTTGTCTCTTATGCATCCTCCCTAAAACCGGAGTGAACAGTGAAACATCTGGACCGCGACAGAGCAGAAACAAACTTCCATCAGGTCATGGATTCACATCATTCACTCTGACAAAGAGAGATATAACCAGTAAGAGTAAGTTATTAGCAGTTTCTTACAAAGCCAGCGCAGTGCTCGCAGAACGTTGGCTTCACGTAGGTGGTCTCTGTGAAGGTGTGGATGAAGCCCATCTTGCAGTTCAGCAGAGAACTGGCTTTCAAGAAGTAGTCGATCATCTCCTCTCTGCTGATCTTCCCGTCTCTGCGATCGGACGCAAAAGGAAGAGATAGACTGTAAACACACACTGATGTTGCTAACTTTACCACGTGTCTTAACTGGTGGATTCTCACTGGTTCTTGTCCAGCTCTCCAAACTTGCTGAGGTAAGGGAAATTGTTCCTGATCGCTTCAAACTCGTCCCTGGAGATGTGGCCGTCACCATCCGTGTCAAAGTTCTTGAAGACACTCTGCAGGTAAAATAATAAAATAAAATGGAGGGTAGCATAAAATTTGTTGCAAGAAAAACCTGAAAAACTGGGTGTGACTAAAATTAAAAAGTAGGTTAATAATGAGAAGATTATCTAAATACAAACAATATTTGAAAGAAATTTAAGTCTTCAATTTGTAATTTTTCACAAACTGTGTTTCAAGCTGCCTCTAATCAGTGTGGTATGACATTATTCTGGTTTTTTGAGCGATGGCAGTTTCCTGTCACCCCATCTTGTTCCTGGTTTGCTGGTTGCTAGGCGACTGGATATAGACCGAGGTAATGGTGGGAATAAATCTCAAGACCTATGTGTATTTCTGAGCCTCTCACTTTTTGTCTCCACAGTCGATGGGTTAGGGTTAGGAGCACGTCCTTAGAAGGATGAATCTGTCGTCTCATAAACTACTTCCTTTCTTACTTCAAAATAAGAGTCATGGGTAAATCCTGCACTCTTATATGCAGATTCAGAACTCATGATAACAGTGTTATCTTGTTTCACCAGACAATTTCAGCTGCTGACCTGGTGGCTCATTTGATTATTTTGTCCCTTTTACACCGTATAGAAAATGTAAAAAATCTACGCGCTACCTGAGTGAAAATCAGGCCAAAATCAGAATCAGCAGGTCAAGATTTTTTATAGATCAGTAATTGGTGATCGGCTAGAAAACTGCAATTGGTGCACACTTAGCTTTCAATATCTTGGCTGTATAAATCCAAACGTCCTTACTAAAACTTTGTTGAACCACCTTTAGAAAGTGAAAAGGCAGCACGACTAGAATGCGACATGCAGGCATAAACTGGACAGCAAAGTGTTAATGAGGAGAAACATCATGACATTTTAATATCCCATGATTTCCTGCCATAAGATCTCATTCCAACTCTAATAATAAAATTTAATTGTGTGATATTAAAAGTTTTGCCAGACCTTTTCTAAAGAGGTTGTATTAGCGCCTATGTGGTGCAGCAGTTTATCTTTCATTCGAGTTTTAGCTCCCTGGGTTTGCTGTTTTAATTACTTGGTGGCGACGAAAAGGGAATCTGACTGCAGTGTTTTTCACGTCAAGTGAAGAAAGCCCAGGCAGCGGCAACCGGGCCACAATTTTAGGGGAAAATGCTGTAATAACCGCGTTCAGACTGGAGCGATAAAAGCAGGAAGCTGTCACAGTCACATCAGCCGGCCTGCAGGATTTATTTATAGCCTGACGACGTAATGAAACCAAAACATCTTCTGCATGAAACCACAGTTCTTCTGCTGACACGTTATTGATCACAATTGGCGATGGACTTAAACTAACAACGGACCAAATTTAGCACCGCGATGCATCTGTAAATGCGGGTAATTAGGACATATAAACCTGCAAAAACAGAAGAAAATCAGCACTAGATTCCACCAGCAAATGCCTCTGTGTGATGACAGTCTGCAAACAAAACACTTTAGTTCCCCTCAGTGGGAAACTTCAACTTCTTTTTAAGTGGAGTTCCATGGAGAACGTATGAGTAGTTGGTACATCTGCACCTTAAATTATTCCAATCCCATCGCTAATTAGCATTATTATCCAAACATGCAAACTAGCAGCTGGTTTGCAGTGAACAATTCAAACAAGGATCATTTAAATATGTCAGTTTAGCTACTATATGAAACATGAAATGCCACTTTCAGCCGCTACTGCAGAATCAGATTCATTTAGTTGGTGAAAATGTTTTAAATCCCACCAAAGATTTTCAGTGAAGAACAAAAATGAAATTAATGTCTGGGTGAGAAAGGAAGTAAATCAGCCCTGGAGCTTCCCTGAACTGTTGCCATGGTTCGCTGTAGGAATGATGATCTACTCAGAGAATTTTAACCTGTGGTTCATTGAGCCCAAAATTGCTTCAATTAAAAGCCTCACAACTATATCAGAATGTAACATTGTTCCACATCTTCAGCTTTCCAGCCAACATCAAATAGTCCTTCTATGGAGGACAGGAGCAGATAATCAGCCATCCATATCGTTGTGGTCCCTGATAGATCCCAGGAGCTAGACAGAGCCCCCAGAGGAAACTCACCTCCACCATCTTCTCGATGTGTTTCTTAATGATCGTCGGGTCAGCATTGGGTTTCACCGACACGGCCCACTCATCAATCATAGTGGACTTAGGTTCAGGCGCCGGGGTAGGGCTGGAGTTCTGCTGCACCGTGAAGAAGCACAAAGGATCATGGGATTGAGGTTAAACTAAAGAAGAAAGAAGATAGCTTTGGCAGAACAAAGCAAAGGTTAACACCTCTGGTTTAGGCACTAACTTTCTGATATATCCTGTATATATCCTCAAAACATTCTGGTTCAGTGCCTCAGGATGGATAATATCCATAAGAAAATAACAGCCTTGCATTGCTTTAATAACCCATTTTAAACATCAGCATACACCATTTGATTAACAGCTGAAGTCAGACTGCTACAGACTTTTTAGACATTATAAAAAAATTCTGTCTTATGATTATTGAACATGTGGGCCACTCTGTCATACTCAATCGAGCTGCAAAATATTACAGCAATAACTGCTATTATTTTTCATTACTGAATATCATGCTATGTTAGGTTGATGCTTCACTCAGCTCAGGATGCTGGGTGTTTGAAACTGTACGTGAAACTGACAGTAGAACCTACTTTCTGACTGATTTGGTTGATAGTTACGACCACTTTGAGATTGTTGGTGTGTGATTTATAACAAAGAAATAAATACATAAAATGATATGGCAAAAGAAGCATTCCTAGTTGAGAGAGCACAACATCACAAAACTCCATAGTCTTGATTTCTCACGATTGAACCAACTTAATCTATTTTTTCAGTAGGTTTGCACAGGAAATGGTGGCAGCAGTTCACTGTGTGGTGTCAAAACCAAACACATTTCCTTGTTTGGCCTTGATGTGGAGGGCTCTGTGATTTCAGCATGTAGAACAGGAGCATGTGGTTCTTAAAATGTAAGGTACGAGCAAAAAGTATCTTACAGCTGGCTTGCGTGGTTCTCTCTGTAGAGACATCTGGTAGATCTCCTCCTCAGTGTGGTACTGGTCCAGTGATACCTGCAGAGAAAACATGAGCGTGAAGCATGTAGAGTTAGATGATGTCACAGCTAATATCCCTAAGAACAAAAAAACTTCTGCTTCACAAAAACTCTTCAAATATAATGTATCCTGATAGTTTTCAAAAAATAATTCTGCCAGAAATATTTGTCAATTTTTTATTGTATGTCTGGGATTTGAAGCTCATAAAAGCCAATATGTTTACAGAAGTCCACTGTCTTTCATTAAAAAAAAAACATACATAAGTACATATAATTTCCCTTTCACACATATATTTTTCTTTACACACTATTATTTATGGAAGTGTTTAATTTATGGAAGTGTTTAATTTGTCGTTAAAACGAGAAATGAAACAAATTTTTGTGAAATGTCTCTGTTGCCCAAAGATTGGTCTGTTACCATGACGATCTGTCATACAGCAACAGTGTTCAGTCAGAGGCCTTTTCAGATCTGATATAAGACTGACTGCTACCGGAGATCCTTTTTTTGCATTTCATTATCTAAGATACTTAGATGATATGAGTTATGATGAGAACACTTAATATCCCTTTGGGATAAATAAAATATTTTTGAATTGTTATAACAACAAATAAAACTTGTTAGAATGAGTTTTATATCTTGCTATAGTGAGAGTTTCTGGTTTTATAAAAATACTGTTGTATTTATTATCTGGCTCTGGCAGTTAAACACTTCAATAATTACTCAACACTGACATTTGACACTGACAGTAATTCTTGACATGGAGAGAACTTTTCTTACACACCATGAATTGCATGTGTAAGAAACCCAATTTGTGCCATCTTGTGGACATTTACATTTTTTAGGCTCTTATCTTAAATGAAATCTTAATAAAGGTTAAAGTTGGAATTGAAGAATTTTTGTCCGTAGGAGCAAATGTGCCTGTTTCTGAGAAGAGTCGTAATTTAAGTAACTGAAGTTTAAAATTAAATATCACCTTTGATATTTAATTTTTGATATTCTGTCAAAAGGCCAGAAAATTGAAAATAAATCACATGACTTGTTTCTGGGATTAAATGTGACACCCAGCCTTCAAACTTGAGTTTGTGTCTCTCTTTTTCCTGAACTTTTGTTTGTTTTTTTAATAGCCGTTTTTCTTCAGTTTATACTCTCCGATCTCCATTCTTCCACGGAAGCACCAGCTGCAAGCCGTCATTCATCATTTGAGGGTCAGTCTCAGGTCACATGGTGTCACCTGAACTGGCCTTGTTAGCAGACAAATGGCAGCTGGAGGCAGCAGCTCAAGAAGTTACTTTTACCAAAGGTCTAAGAGAGCAGCAAACGAAATCCAAACAGATGTTTACAAATCCGAGGCAGACTAAATCGAATAAGTTCAGTTTGTGTTCGTTGCCACCTTTGCAGCTCTTTTGTTGCTCTCTGCGAGGCAGAGCTGGACCTGGGCATTTATCACAGCGAGACGCATTGTTCTGTCCAAAATGAAAAATATCCACTGGATCGGCGGGTGTCTTGTACACAAAGACGGCTCACCTGTTCACAGTGGGAAGTGTTAAGCAGAACCTTGTTTAACAGCAGCGCCCCTCTGCGCCCTCGCACTACGTTACTACAGCAACAGCCGCATTTATTTCTGGGCAAGGTTACAAATTAAAAGTCACACATACGTTTCCACCACTGGCCCCACAGTTATTCTGCGCTGAGCTGTTGACTCATTGTCAGGGTGTTTCCTGTGTTTTACTGAGGCAGACTGGTTCACCAGGAAGGACAAAAGTTCTTTTTCCTGGTTTAGTTCTCTTTTTTTTTTTTTTACCACATTTTGTTCTTCCTCAGAGTAAAGGTTAAGAAGGAGTTATTCAATTATAAAATCCAAGTTATGTTATTTAAATTACGGGTATACAATAGTTTGGTTTGTCAGAACTTTGACTAGGCAGCTAGCTCGATGTACTAATTGTCCTGTGGTAAGTTGAATTTCTGAATAGGATGAGGAAACTTCTGATTCAGATTTTATTAGTGCTGATGTGAAAACCTCACCGCACATCCTGTCATCCTGCTTCGTTTCTGAACACTCTTACCAAAATGGCCAGAAGCAGCTCCGACGGTTTGTGACAAAAAAGTTTGCTAAAAGAGGCTCGTCTTTAACGTGGGGATGGTGTCTCCATGGTGATCTGTACCGTTGGTTTTCCTCTGCTGTTTTAAATGTAGGTCAGATATAGCTGTGGGTTATCTGAAGATATTACACCATAGCATTAGATTGTGATGACAATCTGACACGTTCTATGGGTCACTGTTCTCTATAGCTCATATATTGATTTTGTTTTCCCCCTTCTAGTTTAGTGTCAGTTCACTTTACCCAACCTTTCAAAAACCTTTTAAAAACCTTCTTGATAAATTGAAATGTATAAATTTTACATCAAAGGTATTGCACAGAGAGGGAACTACAAGATTAGACTTCTCACTTGTCTGCTACCAGCTGCCTAGCTGCTAATGATAAGTACGTTAGCTTGTTGACCGGTTATCTACACTTCAGATTTACTGGACCACCAGTGTTATTAAGGAGGGTCTCATAACACTCAACACGTCAACCACAATAACAACACTAAAGTTTTTAGGGCTTCAGGAATAACGTCAATATGGTAAACACAATAAAAGTGAAGGTAATCCAGGTAAAAACCACTCTCAGATTTAAATATCATAAAGCTAACTTAGAAAAAAGCTTACTCTGTTTGTGAAATCCCCTACAGATGCCATTTAATTCACATTCTGAGGGCAGTACTGAGTAATGTAATAATCCAAAAAAATAGCACATCTAGTACTGCTTCTAATAATACTGCTGACATTTATCGTGGACCACACTTTTTCATAGTTCAGTATTCACTGATTTTTTTTTTTTTACAATTACAAATTTGCCTATTTTTTAAAGCTATTCCAAAGAAAAGCAGCTTAGCTGAAAAACCTAGCCGCAATTCAACTTGAGACGCTGCTAACTAATGTTGGCATAGCAGTTAATCCAGGAGCGCCATTTATTTCCTTGCTGCTGATTGGCTGCAGCCCCTAAGAGCAGAAATAAGAAAGACTGTAAGCGTTAGCTTCTGTGCTACTGATAAGACAGTTTCTACTTTTAAAGCATTTTAACGTATATTTACTGTCTGAACTACAGTCAGGAGCTCTTTTAGAGGGAGTCTCAAGTATTTAGCCATTCCTAAATCCTGCAAGTAACTTTATTATTCCACTATAAAAAAAGCTAAACTGATCATTTTGATGAATTAGAACAAATATATTTATTCTTCCGTGCTTTGATGCCTGCTTGTCTGCTTGATGGTCATGGTTGTACAAAATTATGATTTTGATGATGTTACAGAATTATTAGTTAGCCAGAGTGAACTGTGTTAGAGTGCTGTTGTTTCATTTGAGTTCAGTGTATTTTAAGTCTGAAGAATAAGCAGATGAACTAAATGCCAATTGTGCTTCATGCAGTTGGCATTGATGTGCAGGTTGATTGGAACATTTAGAAAGACTGTCGCCCAGGGGATTCTATTATGTACTTTCCTTAAAAGTGTTGCTCTTGACTGTGATAAAATTGTGATTTTCCTGTTAATTATACACATGGTACCCTGGCTAATAAGCAGGTGACTAATGAAGTCATTTGTTTTTCTTGGAATTCAGTGGTAATAAATCGAAAGGGTTGCTGAAAGAGTGCATGCCAAACTTGTTACATTTAAATTTTTAAATAGGCTACAGTCATGCGCTACTTTGAAAAGACACAAGACGTCCAGAGTGAGAAATATTTTGGAAGACCCTGCATCTGCATACGTTAAAGCAGTTAAACCTGTGCGGTCTCCGATGTTTTGATGCAGAGAGAGACTGCAGGGTTTTGAGTTATTTTATCGACTTTCTCTCCATCTTATCATTGCAAGCCGAGCAGGACTCAACACACATCAACTCCACTCACTACTGACAAAAGATAATTGAGTATTGACCCCGTCCTGTAAACTTTCCTGACGTCCGGCTCAGATCTAAAGCCCATGAAAAGGACGGCGAGGTGACTTCTGTTGTCAGCGGGTGCTGTATAAATAAACCAAATTCCAGCAGCTATCTCACATCAACACTGGCAGCCAGGCTGAGTAATTGATCTCTTGGGATTGTTTAAGCTTCCCTTCCCACATTCAGGAAACATCTGCCAAAAATAATGAAACACAAACACAGAAGCAGTAAAGCGGTGGTGCTAAAACAGAAACCCGATGCTTTCATGCTGGTCTGCAGGGAGGGCCAAATCTGAAAATTGGTCTCATACATGGGAAGTAGTAAATACAGCTCTTTGCAAAAGTAATTCAGTTTAAGTTTTTCACATTTTGTCTCCACCACAACCTTCAATGTGTTTTGTAGAGATTTTATGTGGTAGAGCAGCACACAGTAGCATGTAATTGTAGAAGGAAGTAAGGAACAGTGGATCCCCGGCTGGGGGAGGTGATGGTGGGGAGGTTGTTAAGGATCCCTAAAACTCATGAATACTTGGAAGCCCCTCTAAAGATGCTAACTGCTTATTTTAATTGTTCAAACATAAAGTATACCACAAAATGGATTAATATGCACAGAGCAAATCTTTGAACTACAGCAGAAGCTAACATCTCCAGCGTTGGAGCTGCTAGTTGAGTGTCATATTTTACTTGCTCTTTGGGGGACAGCCAATCAGAGACAAGGAAAAGCGCAAACATACAATGTTCCACTCAGAACCCCACCAATACTGACCAGCGACTGGGTGGTAGTCCACTGTAAAGTCTGAAGTTCACTGATAATTGCCCCCCTTTACTCTCATACCCCGAAATGAAATCTGTTGCAAACACCTGTCTTTAGAAGCCACCTATTCAGAAATGTAACGACTCAACTCAGCTCCACTTGGCTAGTCTCGGTTCAGATCGTTTTCCTTTACAGTGGACTGCCATGTCAGTGTGGGTGGACTTGTCATAAAGTGGCAACAGTGTTTTAATCTTATCACAACATTGTTGGCCATTGAGGACCGCAAGCAGCCGTCAATGGCATTGGTATGGTGACTCAACCTGACACTCCACCTGTTGGTCAATCGGTGACTGACAATTTTCTGATGACGCGTTTTCAGGGCGACTTGAGACGATTAGATCAATGGTGAAGTAGGTTCTGAAAAAGGGTTAGAAAACCGTTATAACCACCTTAGAGCTGAGTGGAGTCCAAATGTAAATCCAAATGAGAATTTTGACAATTATTTAAATATATATATATATATATATATATATATCTCCACACAGACAATCCATCCAATCAGACTCAAGAGATCTGTGGACAAATGCTTGTCACTGATTTCAGATTTTTATCAATTGGCATCAGAAATCCCATTAAAATAAACATTTACGGTTGTAACATAAAAAAATGTGAAGACATTTTGAATGGCAGTGTAGAATCCCTAAACGTTGGTGGCCATCTTAAAACATTTAATAACGTGGTCTGACTGTTATTTACACTTTAATACATGACAGAGAGGAGATTGCCTGAAAACTTGATTTTAATTATTTTGTGTTTGTGCTCAAACATATTTGCACTCTTGCAAACCACAAATGGGTTTTGCACACCAGTATTATTGCTTTTTGAGTGTCATATTTTACTTGTGTGTTTGTGATCCACAATGCTGTTCAGATTATGTATCTTTTAGGTATAAAATCTCATCAGTTATTTATAATGCCTTTTTTAAACATTTTCTCCCATTTTTTGTACTGAAACAGATGGTATATTAGAAACTGGATTTTTCATTAAAAAAAACAGTGTTTTGATAAAACCTTTCAATGCAGTTTTTTTTATTAACTATATATTTTATCGCTCTACTTTCAGGGTTTCAGTTTTCAAAAGAAATCATATTCACAAAAACAGCTCAGCACCAGCTTAGACAGAGGAATGGGGTGACTTCTATATCGTTTGGTGAGCATTTGGTAAATACAAGAAGGGATCTAGAAGGAGCCGTCACATCTACAAGCACGGCTTTAAACTGTAACCTGTATGAGACTTTTCTTTCCACCTTGTTGACATTTGCAGTCTGAGAGTTTTACTGTTCAACACTGAGTGGAACAGAAGCAGCGAGGAAGTTCAGACAGGAAGGAAAAGTAGCGTAACGTAATTATGTCCTGAGGAATGTTTCTCCTTTACATCCTAATAGCATTTCACTTGGTCTTCTTCTGTAGGAAGAACAAATGTTAGAAAAGGAAAACACCCAAGAAATCAAATACTCCAGAAAACCAGTAATGTTTATCTCAAACATGCTGACAGGCAACACTTTCTTCTTTAAGCTGACTCAAAGGAGTGGGCATCGATTTAATATTTGCCAGACTTTGCTTTCATGTCATGATATATTTCCTTGTGAGCAGTGTTACTTGTTTCAACTGTATCTCCACCACCTCCTCTATGCAGAACATGATCCAGGAATTAAAGTTGATATTGACCGATAATAGTCATTTCTTTTAACATACCAGTATCGGTTTGATAAGTAAAACTGGGCAGATAAAAAAACAAGACAGAATTCATTTAATTTTATGTTGCTACCATTTGTGCTCCAGGCAGGGGTACAGGGAGGTGGGGGGGGGACCATATAAGGTTTTTGTTGGGTCATGTGACAGTGATAATGGAGATGCTTAAATAAAGCAGAGAATCAATATTGATGGTGTGGTATTTTTTTTTCTGTTGAAACTTTAGGGAATACGTAATGTATATAATACACTAGAGTAAATAAATATCAGAATTGTTAATATCAGATATCGATAGTGGACCACATTTTTATATTGGTGCATTCTTATAAAAAATGATCTCCACTCCTTGGTTAAATTTCACAAACCACATCCCTGGTTGTGCCACCACAGGCGGGGTTGGTAAATATACAAAAGATTTTTGAGGTGGCCTTGTCAAAGTCTGGGACAAAATCCAATGAAAATGTGGAATGACTTTAGTGTGCTCAGATTCAAATAATTCTGCATAGAACAGGTAACTCTATTTTCACACATTGGTGTGGATGACTTTTTTCTGTCATAAATCGTCGTTTCAAAACTTAATTCTGTGTTTCCTAAAGTTGTGTTTGTGTAATATTAAAATTTGGATGACAATCTGAAACATTTTAGTGCAAAGAAGAATAAATCTGTAAACGTGTTAATTGGTTCTTGGTTTTACCATCTCTTTGGTTTGTGAATTAACCAGTAATTAAATACTGAACCGATTAACCCTTGTTCGTTTACACTTCTCAGTCCATCTGTTGCAGTCTTTGCTCCATGAGTTCAGGGTTGCTTGATAACAAAAAACTGTACGCCTGGCAGCCTTCGCCTGGCTACACCCTCAGCCTTTACCAACCTCTGCATCGTGTTCTCCGGTGGTTCTGATCCTACTGCTATATAAATAAAACTTCTTCTACCCTTGAGATGACTTATTGCTAAAAAGTTTGTGTTCCGACTATTTTCATTCACTCTCTCTCATCTGAGTTCGTGCACAGATTTGTCCCATCTGGCTACAACAGAGCGGCTGCCAGAATGGGCGTCACGAACTGGACGCCTGTCACATTGGCGTGTTTTGTCATTCACAGCGTCCTTCCATTCTGTCTAGTCTGACTGCTCCTTTGAGAATGGTTCTGTTGTTAGCACTCGAACTTATATTTCTACAGGTTGTACCCAGAGCCCCCGAACTCACGGTGAGCAGGTTGAGCAGGTCGGTGTTGGACTCGATGTTCGGCGGAGTGGTCTGGATCAGGGTCAGCTCCTGCAGGATGGCGTAAAGCTGCTGGGTTTTGGCCAGGTTCACACGCGTCTTCTCCTTGTCGGCCCAGTCCGGCAACGCCACGTGCACGGCTATCAGGTCCTTCAGGTGCACGCCGAGGATGGGGAAGCGGAAGCCCGAGCACTCGGAGAAGCGTTTGCGGTACTGGCTGTAGTTTCCGCATGACGTCACCAGTTCGATGAGGTTGTTAAAAACCTGCAGGTGAGCAAAGGAAGGGTTGACTTTTAGAGTCTGGTTCATGAGACTCCCAAATGTTTAGCAAAACTGTTACTCCAGATGGACTTATGTAAGAGTAGAAACTGTACATCCACCCAACTGTTCTGATCATGTGGCTCAAATTCATAGTTCTAAAAAGACACAGCGTGGGAGTAATGGGCAACGACAAGCAGCTCTGCAACTCTCACAGAAGAGAGGTGGGCTGTCGAATCAAGATTCAATGTCTAGCTAAGTGGACCGACATGCTGACCACTGCGGACTGGTGTCCGAAAGCGAACACCAGAAATGGAGCTGGGCGACGGTGTAGAGGGCAGGGGTCGCTGCTGCACCTTGTTGGTCTCGGCGCTGATGTGGCTCTGGGTGTCTTTGAGACGGGAGATGGAGCTGTTGCTGAGGCCGCCCACCACCGCCATCAGGGTGTTGAAGTTCTGCAGCTGAAGCAGCTTCTGTCATGAAGAAGAGAAGAACAGATAAAACTACATGTTTATTTAAGCTGCATTAAAAACAGCCTTTTTGGACTGTGTGGGGACAAAATCAGACATCAGACAAAACTTTTTTCCCCATTTTAAGAAGGTTACCAAAGTTATTACCGTTTGCTGAATGAAAGGAACTTTGTTACTTTCTTAAGGGTTAAATTTACTTTTAAAATGTATGACTTAAGTCAAATCTCAGCATCTTCACAGAGCTTGTAACAACAGTTTGCTGGAATTCTGGTCTTTTCTTCCTGACACAACTTGCCTAACTGGGTCACATTTGTAGATGAACACTTGCCTATTTGCAGTTCACTTATCACACTGCTTCTGTGGAGTATTCTAGTGAATTTAACTCCAAATTATCTACAGAAAATTTGCTTATTTGTGGTTTTTTTCATAAAGCATATAAAAATATTTAGGGATGCACCACTTGCAGTTTTGTGGCCTGATGTCAATTGACTGATACCGATTTTTTTTTTTTGTCTCAAATTTTGCTAAATATTATAACAAAGTCATTAACTATGGCTGAAACAAACCACAAATACCACATGGTCATCTTCCTCCACTCGCTCTCCCTCAGCAAATGATATCAAGATGGAAATAAATGTCACTTTTTAGTATCAGTTTTATTAATTGAACCAATACTGATATGTTAAAAAAAATGACTAATATTGGCCCATACAGATGTTAGTACCGAAATATCACCCATCCCTAAATATAATGTAATGTAATGAAATATCAAGGAAAATATGGCACCAACAACAGAAAACAAACATGACACATAACCATCATTAGATGTGTTTCCATTACAAATGTGCGCAAAATATTCCACTAACATTAAAAAAAACAACACAATTTCATAATTATGGTATTTCCACTAAATAATAAACATAATTAAAAACACAAGCTACGTTATAATCCTCCAACTACTTCCTGCTGTTTTTTCATTCATGGTTTGCACCAGTAGCAACTCATGTGATGTCACAGTGTTTTCATTGCAGTTTTGCAAAATAAACCAATTTTGATACGAAAAAAAAAGAATACATCATTCAGCACAAAAACTTATCTTTTTTTTTTAATTGGCGTGTTTCTATTAAGCAGATTTATTTTCCCTTTCAACAATTTGCACAATTCTATAGTTAACCTAAACCAGCTATTGACTGGTGAAAGTGTGAGGTAATTAGCACTGATTAAAAGTTTCACAGTCTTTACAAACCTCCTGTACATTTAAGTCGATAGTTGCTTTTCTCTAGGCTAAAGCAGTTCTTCAGTTAAACTTGTAAATATTCTCACGCAGAAGCAAAGCAGCTATTTGGTTACTACTGACGCTCACTGCTAATTCTCCTTCTGCAGCTTGTGCATGTCAACTCAGGTCAGTCAGTTCTTGGCCACACTGCTGGCTGAGGCTTTTGAAAACTAAAACTACATCGATTCAATTTCTGAGCTCTTGTTTTAATAACTTGTGTTTTGGATTTTCTGTGTGGGGGATAAAAAGAGTAAGTAAGAATTAATGTCGATGCATAAAGGATTATCCCATGTTCTGTTTTTTCCTGTGCGAAGGTCTCAACTATGTTTTTGTGAAAATGAGTCATGCGCACGCAGTGATAAAACTGAAGCTCAATGCATTCAGAGGCAGGACAGACAGCAGCCTTAGAGCTCTTGACATTTCTGCAGCTTCCCCCAACATGCACTGGTTGTGTCCCATTACAGCCTCCTATGGGGAGCACATCTCCAATTCCTCATATTCTCCTTCTTCATTGCAAACCAGCATCATTAGTCCACTTGCTGTCCAATTTATTTCTCTTAATCCTCTGTGGGAATTTGCCCTTCTGCCTTTGTTGATAAAGACGACACCTCGCCCCGCTCCGCCCCGCTCCTCACCCTGCTCCTCGCCCCGCTCCGCCCTGCTCCTCGCCCCGCTCTGCTTCACTGTGCGTCCGTTTCCACGGCCCTCCCGTTGGATCCAGATAGAACAGGCGCTCTGCCTGGGCGCCGCTCGGCGGATCGATCCCTGAGGGTGTGTGAGCTGGATCAAATGCTCCCCTGCGGCAGGCCTCCCACGCAGCAGCCACCCCATTGATTTCCAGTGAGATGCCAGCAGGATGAAGGGCAGCGTGAAGCCCCGCAGAGGGCTGTTCATTAAGAGTTAGCGCAACTTTAGCACACAGAGGAGAGGCATTCACTAAAACGGATTCATGTTCTGCTGTGTGTCTGAGCTGGATGGGTAATTTCTTAATAAATCAATTTAAACCTGCACCACCTTCTCCTGAAAGGACTTGGCAGGACAACTTGATAGACAGATTGATAAGCTACAGCTGCTACCGGGTTTTACAAAATGATACATTTTATCTGAGGTTTTTCACATTTTTGAAACGTGTTAGAATCACAAATTTATGTGTATTTTACTGAGACAGATGGCAGCTTAATTTTGAAGTAAAATATGTTTTTATAAACAGCTCTGGAAAAAATTAAGAGACCACTGAAAATGATCAGTTTCTCTGATTTTATTTTTTGTAATTATATGTGTGAGTAAAATGAACATTGTTCTTTTATTCTACGAACTACAGACAACATGTCTCTGAAATTCCAAGCAAACATTTAGTATTTATTTGCAGAAAATGAGAAATGGTCCAAATAACTAAGAAGTTGCAGTTCTTTCAGACCTCAAATACTTTGAGCTTTGCAGCTAAGCAGAGGAATACATGTACTTTGTCTGTAGTAAGCTTTTCTCCAAATGTTATACAAGTATAGCATGTCCAAAAGAAAATAAACTAAAACAGGTGCTGTGGTGGCACAGGGGTTAAGCACAACCCACATATGGAGGCCTTAGTCCTCAATGTGGCTGTCGCAGGTTCAAATCCTGGCCTGGTGACCTTTGCCGCATGTCTTCCCCCCTCTCTCATTACCCTCTATCAAATAAGGTCCACAAGAGCCAATAAAACCTTTAAAATATACTAAAATAAATCCTAGGTCTCCTATAACAAGTTGTACAATTAGATAATATTAGCATGGGCAATTTTAAAAGAAATACAGTTCATAAATATAATTCATCAATCTAATAAAAGGAGAAATCGAACATTGTGGTACTTCACAGGTCTTGTTGGGACATTTTAATCCTGTGGCATGTCAGCATGCTAAAACGTAAAGCGGCGTACTGACAGTGTTCTACTGAAAGCTAAGCTCGGCTCCAGCTGCCGTGCTCTTTTAATGACGACTGGTGATGAGGAGTCAGCAGATCAAAGTTATTCCAACTAATCCTGGAGAGAAAAGTCCATCAAAACCGACGTGGGCCAGCGCGTTGCCACCAGAACAAAATGTCACCAAAACCAATTCCAGCTCTTCTCTGAACCACGGCGGCGGATTGAGCAGTCAAACTCCTTTGCTCTCCGAAAGGTCAGAGTAAAGAAAATGTCACCCGTGATGAGCAGAAAATAGTTTCTGTCTCTCCAGCAGCTCTGGTCAATACCAGCATCTGTCCTCTCTCTGCCCCGCAGAGACACAGCATCATAAAACACCAGAAACAAGACGGCCGACTCATAATCAATGTGACTGAAACACTAAGGAGTGCTCTGCTGGACTCCCTTGACAAGAGCCCTAGGTAGGCCGCGATGTGTTCTGACAGAGAGACGTAAGGAACCCTGCCGAGAGCCAGCGGAATAAACCACGGCTGACTGCTGTCTGTTCTGTAGATACAGAGGAGATCAAACCCAGAGAGCAGAGCGGAGTGGAGAGCTTTCATAACGACGGAAACAATCCACAAGCCCCGCTGTCGGTAAGTAACGACGCGTCCTCGGCGCGCTGCAGCCTATTAAGATGGAAATACATCTGCGCTTTCTCTGCTTCACCGAGGTTTCATCTTCACAGTGGAGATGAAGAAGATTGTCACAAAAGAGAAGGGGGAAAAAAATTACAACCCATCTGGCACACTGCAGCAAATGATCAGATCAAGCAGAAATGAAAGCAATTACAGTAAAACCCAGGATGCCACTTACAGAGAGATTTCTTCAGTGAGAGGAAAATCTGGTCAGCCACAAATGAGGCTTTTATTGGGATTTGGGATTGTTTTAGGATCAGGGATGGAGGAACATTTTAGCAAACCTGAATAAATGAGTCAATGAGGGTGGGAATCAATAAGGATGACCAAAGTTTACAATTTGCTATCCGGGTGGTTTTTGAGCAAGAAGTTAACGTGTGAAATGTGTGAACGCGATGTTTACAGTTTAAAAATAAAATCTCATATTTTTTAAATACCAAATGCCATTTCAAGCATTTGTTTTCTCTTCCTTCTTTTCTTTTCTAAAAAAATAAACTATACATGAGAAAAATTGGTTTTTGTTTCAGTCAATCCTCCTAAGAGTCGACCAGAGTTCAAAGTTCAACTAAAGACAAGCTATGAAATATTCTTCTAAAACAAGATGGCGGGCCCAGGTGAGCTGACATCACTCGTCCCAAGAATCTAAACTTCATAAACAGACAATTCTATCGATAAAATTGATCTGTCACCCACCCAACAACCAAATTAAACAAAAACAAGCCATAAAACAGGTGAATAGCAGCTGAACCTAAAGGCAATTAGAAAAAAATAAACTGTTGCTTTGGACTGGCATGTCTTGGCTTCTGGTGCTCCAACAGGACAAAGGCGACAAAAAACCTAAAAATTTTGAATTTTACAAAAATTTTATCTCCAGTCCAAACGAGAAATCCTGAACAGATGTTCATATGTGAGAATGGCCTAGTCAAATCCAGCCAAGAGCTAATTGAAAATCTGTGACAAGACTTGTACAATTGAAACCAGAAGTTTGAATTTATTTCTCTGTGTGTGAACTTAAATCAGATCAAACTTCTCTAGTTTCAGGTCAGTTCAAATCACCAAAATTATTTCTATTTGCTAAAAGCCAGAAAACTGAGAATATGTTATTACATTTTTTTGTATATGTATATCCTATATATATATATATATATATATATATATATATATATATATATATCTATACAAAAAAAAATCCCCGCATCATAGCTTCCATAGCTTACATTTGCGGTGGTAAAAGCTTCCCTGTTTTTCCTCCAAATGTCTTGCAGGTCATTAAGCTCAAACAACTCCACTTTGGTTTTAGTTTTAGCTCACAATGCATTAAAAAGTATTTACATCTTATGTAATTTCATGTTTGAATAAATCCTTTTCTTTTGTTTTTGTTCATGCAGTAATCAAAAAAACATGCCATTCCTCTCTGCTCCTGTATTATTCTAGAAGGATTACTGGTGTTATGAGATGGATGCCGCCTAACCTCAATATGCAAATGCCTACTGGCTCCTACAGAGAACGGCATGCTGGGAAACTCCCTGGTGTTGGGTTCCTCTGGAGGAGCAGGGTTGTGGTAAGAGCAAGACTGAATTAAAAATAAATGGTAATATGAAGATTCAAATGTCTCACACATTTGAATCTTCACCAACAGAGCAATTTCTTTTCTAATAAAGGAGTAGATAATTGTTCAGTCAGTATGAAACATTAGCAAAAATCATCTAATTATTTTTGTTTTGTTAGAGCAAAATTATGTCCTGCTTCAGATCAAATGTATGCAGTTAGCAGCAGGGGGAAACACAGACCTGGCGCCTCATCCACAATATGTTGTTTTCCTGCACATACTTTTATCAGACTTTTGGGGGGAGAAGAAAAAAACATTTAATCATCTTTTTCTAAAAGTAATTTTATTTACTTGAGGCAAATTTAAATGCAATTAGGTAAATGCGCTCCATCACACGAGCCAGCGAATCTTTAATCTACAAGATACAAGGTTTTTCCTCCTGTACTACGGTGCTCTCAGAGGAGATGTTTAAACACTTAGATAGATTTATTACAGGGTTTTTTTTGTTTTGTTTTTTTCAGAACTGATGCTATCCGGTGGGAAATCAGAGGCTTATTGGTGCGCGCCTCAGCTCTGTTTCACGTTTTCCAAACAAGTTTTTGCTTTGCCGTGGCTCCGGGCGACGCAACCCTCCACGTAACTTCCTGGAAGCAGATCGCCAGCGTGCCAGGGGGGACGGGGGGGGGACTAACCTGCGCCACCCTGATGAAATGGGAGACGACAGCTGCTCTCTGCTGGGCGGTGGGCTTGCTGAGCACCATGAGCTGGATCCACTGGGAGACGCTGTTGAAGAGCGTGATGAAGCGCTCCAGGATGGGGTTGTCCACCGTGCAGCCGTGCATCACGAAGCTGTGGTAGTCCTGAAACTAAGCAAAGAGGCAGGATGTCACTGAAAATGTTCCACTGCAAGGAGAGATCCAAACAGCAGTTATCATATTGGAAATGATGATGTGATGATTAAAATTTCGTATCGTAGTAAATGATACAACTTGGCACCAAAAGTTATGATCCAAAATTATTTGATGTGTGAAATTAACAGAATGATGAAGCAAAGCAAAACCAAATGATGTCAAACACAGCATAACTGATATGTGTGTTATAAAAATATTTTGCATGAGAATGTTCAAATGACTGTCCTTTGAGCACATTTTCTAACCACACTTTTTCCTTCCACTTAACTTTCTATAAATATGCTTGGATACAGAATTCTGTCAACAGCCAGCTTTTCCAGTAGTAACGTTCTGTGGCTTCTGCTCAACAGCTGTGTTTCCATCCACTATACAATTGCACAATTTGACATATTTTAAAATAAGATTGCTTATATGTAACTTGCAGGAAATTTCGGGGAAAAAAAAAATGTTTTCCAATAAAAAGTTTTAGTACTAGGAAAAGGTGTTTTTGGTTTATTTCACAAAACTACAACGGAAACACTTTTTACGCATCTCAAGAGTCACATTATCAACAACCAAATGTTGCCAATGGTGCAAACCACGAAGAAGAAGATGTCAGGAAGTAGCAGGAGGATGCTGATGTTTGATGACGATATTTTTTAATGACTAGTTGCGTGAACAAACTTATTTATCTGAGATATTAACTGCGTTTCTTAGAATGAGAGAATATTTAAAGCCTCACTAAACCTTTGCAGGTGTTTTGAGTTAACTATCTGATTAGGGTGTGACATCATGCTTTTCTAATATTTCCCTTTTTCACAATATTCAAACTCAAGGGGGTCAAATATGCTTTCAGGTAGGGCTGGTTTGGTTGATTCGGATAGTTTTTTGTTTTGTATTTACACATGATATCTTTGTTTATGATCTTATATATTAAAATGTGATTTAAAAAAGCAAAAGAAATCATTAAGGGAGCATATACTTATTCTCTGCACTGTTCAGAACTGGACTGCATTGAAATGAATCTGATTGGTTGGAACTGAATTTGTTTCCAATGTGACTTTCTATGAAGAGATATGATTTTATTATGGTTTCTATAAGTAAGCATCTCATCTCCTCTTGTCTTCCAGAAATACAACCAAAAAATAAAAAATTAATAAAAAATCAACGTTCTCTAAAATTAACTAAAAATACACACCGCGCTATGAAAGCTGACATCAGTCTTTATTGCTTAGCAACCAACCACGGTTAACCTGTGGCACTGATTTAAAAGCTGTGAACAAGTTGACTCTGAAGCACTAACCAGAATCTTGCAGAAGGATTTGTACTCCAGGAAGGTCAGGTGCTCTGCCAGCTCAGATGAATCAAGGTGGTCGAACAGCAGAGACATTTTCCTCTTTTTAGACACAGATGGGACACGCTGAGTCACCTGCCGCTTCCATTTATACGACGGCCTGTGAGCAGAGACACGGAACAGATTATTTTTCTTTATAGATGTTATTTTTAAACAGCGTCATAAAAGTCATGGGGACCCAGGTTTACAGCCACTGGAAAATGTGATATTACCGTCTCCCTCAGAAAGCCACACAGATCCAGCTTTAATTGGAGAATTTGGTTTGTTTTTTTAACCTCCAAAAATCAAAAATCAGCTACATCTCTTTAAATGGAGGTTAAAATGGATTCATACTTGAGTTTATCGTTAAAGAACCGAAACAAGCCGCTGACCCTTCACGGTTCAGCAATGTCAATTAAACACAATGCTGACACCTGTGGAGACAGACTCCCAGCCCCACTGCCAACGATATGCAGCACTTAGCAGCCAGCTCACTCACACGCTGTCCAGGTCGATGAGCTGACTCTGTCTCTCGTTGCCTTCGGTGGTCAGGAGGTCTTTAAAGTCTTTGATCTGCTCCTCCAGCTCGGGGTTCAGATTGAACTCAGCAGGGAACTCAGAGATCCAGTACCTGGAAGAAAGGCCGCAGGAAGAACAGCAGACGGATGAAGCTGTACTGGATGCTGAAAATAGTCTAAGTTTGTGCAGCTTGAAATGTTTCATAAATCTATCTTTCTGGATCGTTACTTTTGCTGCTAGGTGAAAATAGAAAAGTTTGATGCAGTGCAAGAGGCGCTCCATGTTAAATTTAACATGGAGTGTGTTGTGAAAGTGTTCACAATCCATTTTTCACATTAAAACCACAGTTTAGTGTAAAAATTGTCAACTGGAAGAAACATGATAAAAACAGAGCTGGGCTGTCACTTATTACTGAGAAGTTAATTGTGCTAATGCTAAAGCACTACGCTAACATAAGTGGTAGCTAATACTAAAACATTACACAAACATGATATTTAGTGGATGCTAATGCTAAAGTGATAGAACAACCCTGCATTTAAAGGATGCTAAAACGTGCTAATACGGTATTTACTGGAAGCAAATACTAAAGCAAAGAAACAACATGGCATTCAGTGGAAGTTAATGCTAAAATGCGCTAACTTCAATTCAACTTATATCTGCCTTTGAAAGACCACAACCCTCATGCACCAATTAAATTTTGACATTATAGTTTACACTTTCGATAATATCCTCAGATATTGTGTTTATATCATCTTCTCTATGGTCTGTGTTTTATTTTATTCCTGTACATTTTATGCTTTGGAAGCAAAAAATCTGAGAAAATGTGAGAAAAGGAAACAGAAGTGCAGCATAAGCAGAATATAAATGTCTAACTACTTTAAAAATTGTTAACAGTCGTTACCAAAAACCTCAACACAGATGTCTAATAGTGCTTTAGAATTTCTGCAGAAAAAATCATTTAGGGGAAGCTAAGTGTGCTAAGCATTTTCAAAGTTAGCAAAAGCATCAAACAACAAATTAGCTCTGCTATTAGCGAATTAGGGGATTGGTGGAAATGTGCTCACAACTGTAAAAAAAATAATAAATGTACAAATAAAAATCTGAAATGTGTGGAGTGCTGTTTCAGTTAGTCTTTTTTACTCCCTCTAAAGTTTCCCAAATATTACTTATTGATTCTATTGACCAATACTCAGTGCATCCAGAGAGCAGAAAACAGAAAAAACTGAATATTTAGTTTTAATACTTCTTACACAGAAATCAGAATCTGCAAAAAAAAAAAAAGAGATATCAGTAGATTAGAAAATTTATAAGTTCTGTGATTGGAGATTGGACCCTTAATCTCTAATCAGATTTAGAATATTTGAGCTGATCTTCAATAAAATCCATCCACCGTTCAGCTTGTCTTTTATAAAATTGCTCTAGAACGCATCAATGTTTATACTTGTAACATGACAAAATGTGTAAAAGTTCAAAGGGTGTGAATATGTGAAACACTGTGAGGCAAAAATGAGAACGAGGAGGCTAATTAAAGAACGAGCATGAGAAGAAAGTAAATGACAGCTTTGACAAACAAGACAAAAAAAAGACAACATGAGATCATTATCAGACAGAGAGGAGAGATCATTACTTGACAAGGTGGCATATTCTCGTTCGACGTTCCTCGGTGCAGCTCTCCTCTCGGGATCTTGTTAAGTTAAGGTGTAAAAATCTGTTTCGGGTTAAATACACAAGGACAGAAGAAACTAAGGCTTTTAGTTGAACGTATGTTTAAATCCTAAAATGAGGTTTGGAATTAACAGCTCTGTGTATTTGTAGGCAGACACCAGAAGGGAAAACATTAAATGTACGCAGATGTCAAAGGATACTGAAGCACAAGCTTCCTGGCCATGTCGGTGGAAGGGATGTACCAGGGATGCATCATGAGGAACATGCGGACCAGGGAAGCATCCTTCAAAGTGCCTTTCTCATCTTGAAAAACAAATCAGGTTTAGTCAGAATGTGCCAGCTACCAACAGCCTGTACTTACTGCCAATAAAAGCCACATGAGTAATTTTTTTTCTGATGAGGTGAATGACGAACCGAAGGCTTGGATGCAGGCCTCCACCAGCTCATCCACCGTGGCAGACTGCTCTGATAGAATGGACTCCATGGTTCCCTCCATTCTCTGTGCTCACCTCGCTTCCTCCAGTCTGGTTGAAATCTTGTGGTGCTCACTGAAAGGAGAAGGATCAGAAAGTGAGCAAAAGACTCAGACCGTCTGAAGTCAACACAACCGGAAAACACCTTTACATCAGCTGTGACTGGAATAGTTCCACTTCCTGTGAGGAGTTTAAAAATGGGCGTAAGTGTCTTGCTAACTTTGCATTTTAAATGATTTAGTTGCTTCCGAACATGAGCTGACGTGTGGCAGACGATGCTGTGTTTTAAGGTTGAAAAGCTTTACTTCAGTGTCCAAACAGAGCAAAAAGGGGACAGTGGCTGATTTTCATGCCTCTGTGATGATAGATAAGAGCAGCTTCACATGCAAGTATCAACCGATCTGCCAAAATTACAGAAACCACGACTGATCAATCGATGCATCCTAACTTTTAGTCCATGTCGACAGTGACACGGATTATGAGCCAATACAAACATCGCCTACTTAAGAAGTGCTTACTCTGCGTTTTTGTTTGAAACGATGTATGAAAATGACAATAATGGTCAATAAATGTTATATCATGACAACTGCAACAGTCAATTCATCATAGCATTTCAGGAGAATAAGAATTTGATTCATTTTTGTTTTGTTTTAAATAAAAGTTATAGGTTACATTATGCATATTACATTACACAAAGTGTTTAATTTAAAGATCATGCTGATTGTAGTCAACCTAGATTTTCTTTTTCATCATGAAGACATCCTTACTCGTCTCCCTGAACTCCAACCTGCTAGATCAGGTGTGGGCTGTGAAGGTGATGAATAGATCATCAACTTGTCTCAGCCTACCAACCACTGCTCTCAAACGGTCCGCTGTGACTGTGGTTCAATTCAATTCTGAAATATTCCACACACTGATAACCCAATTATGATTACAGTAAATAGATTGAGCGGCTTTAATAAATAGCCAATGAATCTTTTTACATAACCACATTACGCACATGCATTCATTCTGAATGAGATATGTTGATATGAGGCAACAGTCTAAACCATCCTTCCATGCAGTTCCACAATCAAGACGTGTCATCGCCCCTTTAAAATACCAGCATATTTTTAAGCTTTCTAAATGAAATGCATAAAATACATTAAAATGCAGTGTTTATATTAGTAATCTTTTCTGTTGACATAAAAATGTTGTCAAGCATAAGATGATTAGAAGACAATTTATGAACATGCCTCTGTGACTCAGGCAACATGAGCTTGGGTTTTTTCCCTGCCACTGCGGAGGATCGTGGAGAAGGAAACACTGGCGGACCCACAGAGAGCCTGACACTGAGGGAGGCCAGGCTGTGGATGGCCCTTCAGGAAAGCTAATCACTCTTACACGCATTGCACCAAGCACACAGCAGATAATCATCTCCTCTGTGAAAAGGTTAAATAATTGTTCTGCCTTACAGCGTAGCTAAACCACGCACTGGGGAAGCAGTGCATTACCTCACTTCTCATACCATTTTATCTTCGCTCATCTTGACTGATGTCTATTTGTGTCAACTGTAATCTGGGTAACTGTTTAACCACAGAGCACACTGCCTTGAGCTTTTTGACATTCTGTCCCCTAACACAAACACTCTCACACACTCAGACACACAATTCTTCAATTTATTTAGGGAATTTAGAGGAGTTTTCACACCTGATAGTCCGGTAGACTCATATCCATTGGGGACCAAAACTGTAACATTTGTTACATTTTCAGGTGTTTTGCTTTGCTTTTAAACTGGACTGTGTCAGTTGAACCAAACTCCTTGAAAAGCCTGATCCTCCACCCCTCGCCTTTGGTGGCGCTGTACCAAGAACCACTGAAGGAAGCAACATGAAAACCTCTGAAGAAGACACTGAGCGCAAATTCCTTCTTCAGGAAACGCAAAACAGAAATGGAGTAGCATCAGATTTTGGCAGTTACAGGATTTCATTTTCATCTCTGTCAGAAAACTTCAAACCATTTCTCCCACTAGTTGTTTTGGTTGTATTTACCCAGAATCCCCTGCAATCTAGTCTGCTTCCTCCTTTTTTAGCTCACTCCAGTCTAGGTTTGTAGGAGGACAGAGTTTGCTTTTTTGGTCCGCATCAGAGTTTGATTGTGATGTCACACCCTCCCAAATGAATTACAGTTCACTTCAAGTGGACTAAACAGGCCTGGTGTGAATGCACCCAATGTGATAAAGCAGTACATAAAACTGTTTTCGAAATAAAATCTGACATGTACATTGTATTCAATATTCATCTCACTTCACCTTGATGACTCAAAATAAAACTTCTTCGAACCAATGGACATAACAGTACAATCCAGCTGTGTGTAATTTATGTCAGTTGTGCTGGCTATTCTGATTCTGGCCCCTGAGGTTTGTTAGAGACCATCATCATTCCCACTGAGCAGTACAGCACAGGTTGCTGGGGTTCGGTACACTGTTTCATGGTCCAACGTTTTCAGGATAATGTTTCCACCTCCAGTTGGACTCTCACTAGGCAGAAAGGGTTAAACCCAACACCTGACATTATGTCACACTAGTGACGAGAAACGTGACTTGCCAGTTTGACGTAATGTAGGTGTTCGCGCGACAAAAGTACATTACAAACTAGCATGTCTTGTGCTTGTCACAAATAACGATGCTTTCAAAAGTTGCAAGATGACAGCTCTCTGGGAGTGGACTTGGCAAGGAGGCCTTCCAACTGCAAAGACTTGGAGCTAGTCAACAATGTCAAAAGGTCAAAATGCCAGTGGAAACGTGGTGGTCAGCAATATTAAGGAGAGTTAGATTCTAAAATGCCAACAAGAAATTTCGTCATTCAATATTGAGGAGGATTTAAACATGCTGTACTTCTGAAGTACAGCATGGCTTAATCTAGGCCATGAATGCCAAAGACCAATCAGAGGGAATTGTGCTTCAACACACCTGAATCAGATCTCTGAATTCCCTCATCAGTTGTCCTTCAGCTCTGCAGAGGTCTTGTATCGAGACATTCATTTGATTCAGGCATGTTGGAAGGTATGCATCTCAAGGCTGGAGGATAGTAGCTCTAAAGGATTGTGGCTTTGCTGGTCAGCCGATATAAGAGGCTAACGATATCCACTGTTCCAAATGAAAGAATACAGCTACAAAAATGTACAAATGAATATGTGCTTACACAAGTTGACTGACTTTATGACTGAACTTTGGATACAGACATGACAAGCTATGTGCAAGGCTGATAGAAAACCACAGCACAATCAGCAGGAAACCAACATTCAGTCTGCGGACGTGGAACTTAACTGATATCATAGTCTTACCAACATGCCTAAAAAAAGAAATGCCTGCTGCATTTTTTGCTCTCAATTCGATTATATTGACTCAAAATGCTTGTCGGAGTAAAATTCACTTCCAAATTATCTCGGCTGTTGTCCTGTCTTTGATGCAGATTACATCACTGTCCACTGGCACAGACCAATGTGAGAGAAACCCCCTTGGACTCGTTTTCTGTAAAGTGGCAAAGTTTAGCAACAAAACCACCAACACCACGCCCCTGCGGCCGCAGCTCTTAACGGACGGCCTGTCGACGGTGAGGCTTGGTGAGCATGAGAAGGGTGTGATAAGTGTGTGTACACATCAATTGTGCCTGACACAATGAAGGCTTTCACTGCGCTGCCTCTGCCGCAACACGGTGGGTGGACACGCTCAATTACAGGCCTCCGCAAGCTGCCACGGCCGCGCTCGTGTGCGCGGGGACGCTCGGAGGAGAAAACAGAGAAAAAGAGGGAAGTGTGACCTGAAAGCTTCAGCGTCTCTGCATCACGCTCATCAAAGGGAGAGAGAGACGACGGAAACCACTGTTAAGATAAAAACAGAGAGCTAAACTAGTCAGCTGCAGATGTGTGATTTTGTACCCAGTTACAGAAAAGATTACACTGTAAGAAAACTAGAAACTAGAAACAAGAGCTGCCCACAGGAAGCATGTTTGAGCTATAGAGCTGTGCTCCACTGAAGAATGAAACCTCACAATAAAAATACCACCGGCTGTGTTAGCCAACCATTATCTGAGCTCCAAGATCTAATCTTACCAGTACTGAACAAATTCAGGGCTTCTTCTATTTTTAATTGAACATTGTATTTATTACAGAAAAACAGCTTTCCAGACCAACCCGGCTCTACATGACAATATTTAAACCTCAACAAGTGCCATCAAACAAAACGTGACTGAATCTTTTACATCACCATGGAGGAATCTGCTGTGAAGAATTGTTTTAATTTAGCTGATTAATGGAACCTTTAAGTTCCTCCCACAGCATCTCAGTTCAGACTTTGAATAGGCAACTGCAAAACTTTCACTTTCAGAACTAGAATTGCATACGCCAATGGATTCACAAGCTTGGTCAAACATGTTAAAACAACACAACTCTAATTTGTTCACTCAGTGCAATTGGGAGTACAGCAACCAATGTAAAGCAAATGAAACAAACTGGCAACAATACGGCGACTACCATGAGTAGCAAAACAAAACAAAATGGAGGAAGCATCAACAGTTCAGCCAACAAACTTGAAGGCAGATATCTGGAAATATTTTTGGATATACTAAACAGGAAGTCAGCAGTGAACTGGATAATAAGAGTCGAATGGTGAAATAATGTGGAAGCAAACCATCATTTCTAGACTGGCTGATTGGCTGATTTTGAGGCCATTATTGTTTGTCCACACATTACAAAAGAAGTGCCATATACTGAATTTTATAGGTGAAGTTTTGGTGGCTTAAAAATATTTAAATTATTGCATTTTTGTATTGGTAAGGTCATGTTAAATAAAAAGCACATGATTAAATTGACGGCATCAGGTTCGATTCTTAATGTAAGTAAACTTTTCTAGTTTCTTTTTTTTTTTTTTAACGACTATTTTTTTTCCCAAACTAAATCTTTAAAACTTTCTACTACTACTGAAACTACTGTTTCTACTACTCAGTTAGTGTCTACTATTTGAAGCTTTAGTTCTGTCTTCAATATCCAAGTAAGGCTGATACTACATGATAACCTTAACTGACTCGAAAATCAAA